GCGGGAGAGGGCAATAGATGCCTTCAGGCCAGGCTTAGTCCGGCAAAATCATTCTCTTCTGATAAAGCCTTGTTAACACTGACCCCTCAACTGTGGTCTGAGTGAAATGTCAACATTCATGAAATCTTTTCAGGAGACTGATGTCTTCAGCAGGGGTTTAGCCTAAACTCAGTCTTTCATACTCTCACAAGAAAGAGAGTAACAAAAGCTGCTAGCCGATTCCGAGGTCAGCAACTCCTAGTACAGCACTAAGAAACAGACTAGGTAGGCAGGACAATGAAGGAAACAAGGAAAAAGCTATGTTCTTGTCCCCAGGCTTTTTGGTAGCAACGACAGCAGGATAACAAATTGTCCTGGAATTCTTGGCATTAGAGCAAACATGTCAGCTCCCTGGTTACGCCTCCGTCACTGCTCAGAGGACCACACATTTTAACCTTCCTGCGCTTTCCATAGGCCTGCGTTTGTCTCGTGTCCAGGAAACTATATGTTGTCTAAACTGAGCATCCCAGCAGGCTGCAAGGCAGCCGGCAGCTCAGGATTCAGAATGTTGACCGGTTCCTACCTGGATCCACACCACTAAGCTATAACTCAGCCTGCAGTGCAGAAATAGGAGCCCAGCCCACGTGGCTAACAGCTTTTTTAACCACAACTCTCAATAGTGAGGAACTGCCCTAGCAGGTAAGAGTCAGTGAGATGGTCTTCATCAAGGCAACTGGAAAAGGATGCAACATCGAGATGTATCTAAAGAGATATTCAGGCTCAAGCAGATACCCAAACCAGTAAGCGAGCCCCCAAGACTGAAATAAGTTAGGAGTGTGGCTGACCTGCCTTCGGATCTTTGGGACCTGAGGTCACTAGCCTAGGACATCATGCAGACATCTGCCTCCCGACACAAGAGCCTCAGAAGAGGCTTCATGCTTCAGCCAGGAGGGAAGCCAGGAAGGAAGCCAAAATATGCTCATGAACTACATTAATCAAGTGCAAAACACATATAGAAAAGCGAGACAGAGTATAGCGTATGACACTATTTGTGTAAAAAACAATCCAAAGAGGGGGCTAGGGACATGGATATGCAGAAAGCATCTCTGTAAGGGAACCCAGAAACTGGCAGCACTGACTACCTCTGCAGAGGGGTACTCAACAGTTGGAAGACAAGACTCTCTACCTTTGTATCGAATGAATTTTGAATCATGCAAATGCATAATCTTTCAAATAACAAATGTAATGTTTTTAAAATGCAGAATGTTACAGTCTTGTTATTTCAAAGAAAAAGTGTTCTATAAATGTATATGCACATTAAAGAAAATTCTGCAAGGGGGACCTTCAGGTGGCGTGGTAGCTAAGGTGCTAGACACTCCCACATGGCTGACCATGGTTCGAGGCACGGGCCTGGTGACTTGCTTTCTCACTTTCCCCCTCTCTCTCTCTGGTCAAATTAAAATAAATGAATGAATAAATCAATTAATTAAATAATTCTTTAAAAAAACATTCTGGGGAACCAGCAGTTAGCGTAATGGCTATGTCGCTGGACTCCCACATA